TAAAATTTTGTTCTGAACCACTGTCTGTCCTCTGCCTATGCAGATCCCAGGCACCTCCACGTGCTATCATGCTCTCTAGAAATGCAAAGCCACCTTAATGTCCCCATGATTCCCACTCAGGGGAGCACACTCAGTGCACATAGGCCGTGGTCAAAGCATAAGACAGAGTCTCATGTGCTGGGCTACATCGTCACCTGAGGCTCAGCAGCAGCAGACTGGAAGGAGCACCAAATGGGAAGGCAGGAGACCTGGCTTCCCTCCCCACAATACTCCCATGTACTGTGTAACTGTGGGGCTTCATGTTTTTCATGGGCAAAATGAATTAGTTAAAACTGGTGAACTTTAAAGAAGTTAAATCCTTAAAACTATCTTTAGAAAGGTAACACACTGTAATTCATCAGCAAACATTTGCAATGCCCCCCAACAATAAAATAGCCAACTTACTGAGTACAACCTATGTGCTAAGCACATATATTGCCTCACCAAATTCTCACAGAATTCTAAGGAGTGGTTAGTAGCCCCATTTTACAGACAAGGAAACTGAAATTCATAGAGGTGAAATGTTTTGTCCAGATAATAAGACATGCAGGTGTAATTCAGGGGCAGAATGCATGGCTGGACTGGGTCCCTGTGCTCCCCTTTTGTCCAGTGCTCCCCAGGCCTGTCCGATAGCAAAGCCAGTGCCCACTGTCAAACAGTAACACTCCTCCAGATTGGATTAGGCTGAAATAAACTTAAACACCAGACCCCGGCAGGAAGTGAAGCTCCCTATTCCCAGGACCAAAGAGGGTCACCCCGAGGGCATTTTGGCTGAATGAAAGCCAGAGAAAACTGGCACTCCCTCCAGAAAACCCAGAACTGGCCGTGTTGGGGTAAATGACTAACTCACAGAGCTGGAATGTGTCTTTGAAGTCACCCAGTGAAACCTGTCACAGCCATCAGATGCTCAAGCACCTAGCAAGGTAGCCTGATGGGGAGGAGAGCCCCTGACTGAAGGTCAGGACACATGGGTTCCCGCCCGGCTCTATCACAGCCTCGCTGTAGGCTCTGGGCAACTCATATTCTCTCCAGACTTCAATCCTTGTCAGAAGGCAGACGAGCCCCAATGTTGGGGAGGAGGCATGGGTGGGTTCTCCTATGTGCTAAGGAGTGCCTACATTCTAAGCTACTTGAAGGCAGGGACTGTGTGTGTCTTCTATTCATATCCCTATTCCCGGTGCCTTGCGCATAATAGAGGCTCAGTAAGTATTGGTTGAATGGACGCATCAATTATATTAACAACTTTACCTTGTGACCTGCTGTTAGGAAAAGGCATTGCTTCTTTTTTTATTGAGGTACAATTCATGTAACACAAAGTTACAATTTTGAAGTGAACAGTTCGGTGGTGTTTAGTACATTCATATATTGTGTAACCACCAACCCTATTTCATTCTGTAACATGCTCATATCCCATTAGCAGCCACAGCCCATTCTCTCCTCCTCTCATTTTCTGGCAACCATCAATCTGCTTCCTGTTTCTATGAATTCACTTATTGTAAATTTAAATTATTATTAGGTATTACTAGATCCATAAATAAACGAGTTCCTATGTACCCGCACAGTGTGAGGCATTTCCCATGCATTCTCTGAGGACTCTTCCATCTCAGACGTTCTGCTGTCTTCTGGCACAGAGAGTCAACTACACAAAATGTGGTTTCCCCAACAATGCGCCCAAAAGGGAGGGAATTTCCTTTAGTTGGAGAAGGGGGCACTGAGTCTCTTTTCTCTTCTACTGACTGCCTTTGTGCCTTGGCTCCTCTTGCTGCCACCTAGAGCAGAGCTGTGGCTGTCCTTCCACAGCTCTCAGATCCAGGAGCAAAGGCCAGCACTGGTGACTGAGATCCATCAATCAACAGGCCCAGGAGAGAAAGCTGTAAGAAGACGTAAGAGAAGAAAGCAGGTCAGGACAGATGGGTCCACCCAGAAGCCCAGAAAGGATGAGTCAGCTCTCTTGGCCTTTTCTTGGTCTCATATCCCTTTTATGAACAGTAGACGGGCACAAAAGGTAAGTGAGGAGCCAAGGTCAGGCCCAGGGGACAATGGAGGAAGACTAGGAGCATTCAAAGTTTGTGGGGAGGGATGGGTGCGGTGGCTCACATGTGTAATCCCAGCACTTTGGGAGGCCAAGGAGGGGAGATCACGAGGTCAGGATTTCAAGACCAGCCTGACCAGAATGGTGAAATCCCATCTCTACTAAAAATACCAAAATTAGCTGGGCATGGTGGCTTATGCTTGTGGTCCCAGCTACTCGGGAGGCTGAGGCAGAAGAATTGCTTGAACCAGGGAGGCAGAGGTTGCAGTGAGCCGAGATCACTCCACGGTACTCAAGCCTGGGTGACAGAGCAAGATTCTGTCTAAAAAAAAAAAGGTATGTTGGGAAGCAACTAGTGCAGGTTTCGGACTGACAGCTGCCGATGTAGGAGACAGTGCCCTGGGGAGAGGAGGAGGCCTGTGAGAGGGGAAGGAAGCTAGCAGCCTCAGAGCGTGCGGCAGTGCCATGCCAGGAAGCAGATGAAGCATGGCTACCCAAGACGGGAATACATGATTTCCTGGCCCAAGTCACCTTCCAGGACCATCTTCCATGACCCCTATGGCAACCCGCTAAGAACTGTCCTCAGCATCCCTCCCCACAAGACAGTGAACCACCACCATGACCAATTTCTTCTGCCCCCTACAACTAAGCAGCAGTTCAAACAGGTCGCCTCACTCAGGAGAGACAACCCAGCCGGTTACTGCCTCCAAATACGAAATAACCAGGGCATCCTTGAGCTGGGGCAGTGTTGGGGCCGAAGCTTCCCCGTGTGTCATGGGATATGAGCTCATCCTCATTATGGTGGGTGGGGTCTGGACAGTTACCCAGAACTGTCATGTGGAAATGGAGATTATGAGGTCATTCACACAGGCAGTGAGAGAATCTCCCCCATATACAGTCTCCCAAATGGGGCAACCTGAGGGCAGAATATGGGCTTCTAAGCCCTAGAGTGTTGAGGTTTCCCCAACCCCTCCCTTGCACACACACACACACACACACACACACTCCCTCAGCTTTATCCACTGCCCTCTTTCCCACACCCTAGCTTTGCCCAGCGGTCAAAGGCTCACACATACCATCTTCTCCTTAAGGCTCTCATTATGTCGTGAGTCAGCGGGCGGGAGGCAGATCTGGCAGATACTGAGGCCCTGCTAACCCATAAGACCGGTGTGACTTCCTTGATCTGAGTCTGCTGCCCTAGACTGACTGTCACGGGCTGGGAAGAGGCAGATTCCCCCCAGATGAGGTCAGCAGCAGAGCACAAGGGCATCAGTGCCCATGTGAGGATGCTTGATTAGTTATTCAAGGCAGAGTGGGTTGTGCTTTCTCTGCCCCAGAAAAGGGCACAGTCTCTGTTCTATGGGAAAAAGAATGTAAGGTCCCTGAGTGGGCTCAGGGAACAGAGAGATCATGAGGAGAGGATACCATTATAGGAATCAAGGGTCCCTTGTGAGTCCTCCATCTTTTTTTCAGACATGATCTAGGAACATGACAAAATCAGTGCTTTAAATGGATTTACTTGGGGCTTAGAGAAAGCGCCTGCCAGGAGAACTGTGGGGAATCAGCACACTTCTCAACATCAGCCCCTCTGAGTATGGTCTTTATAATTCCTTCTTTTTGATTAGATTATAAAAAAGAGTGTTTAAATGAATGATGTGCATAAAATAAGCTATTAACCAACCATTAAAAAGAAAGGGAAGAAATAAATGTTTTGTTTTTACACACACACACACACACACACACACACAGACACACACATATAAACACTGATCAACACTAAAATGTTTAATAGTCATTTTCAGGTGGCAAAATTCACTTCTCTTCAATGAATACTTGTAGAGCACACATTCTATGCAGTGGTTTTGATAGGGTCTAGGGGGACAGCAGAAAAGATACCAGGTATGCCCTGCTCTTAGCTTATTTTCCAGTGGGAGAGATAGACAATAAGCAAGTGAACAAATGCAAACAAAATAACTCTAGACAGTTACAGGTGAAATGAAGTACCAGTCCCTCAGATACGATACACAGAGAAGGATCTCTGACAGATCCCAGCATCGACACTGAAGCTGAATGGCATAAAGAGCCAGAGACCCAGGGAGGGGCCTGTGGGCAGAAGGAGAGCAGGTGCCAAGCCCCCAGGTGTGGAGCTCTGGGCTCATCTCAGGAACTGAAGGCCCTCCCCGAGGTAGGAATATACCTCTCAGGAAGAGACTGACATGAATTGAGGCCCCAGAGAAAGGCAGAAGCCAGGTACCCAGGGACTTTTAAACCACGGCTGTGAGTTTGGATGTTATTTCAAGTGTGCTGGCTCACTGTTGGCACTGGGGAGAGATGTGCTGAAATACACACTCTGAAAGATTTCCTTCTTTCTTTCTTTCTTTCTTCTTTCTTTCTTTCTTTCTCTTTCTTTCTTTCTTTCTTTCTCTTTCTTTCTCTCTCTCTCTCCCTCCCTCCCTCCCTCCCTCCCTCCCTCCCTCCCTCCCTTCCTTCCTTCCTTTCTTTCTTTTTTTGAGACAGAGTTTCGCTCTCGTTACCCAGGCTGGAATGCAATGGAGCGATCTCGGCTCACCGCAACCTCCGCCTCCTGGGTTCAGGCAATTCTCCTGCCTCAGCCTCCTGAGTAGCTGGGATTACAGGCACGCGCCACCATGCCCAGCTAATTTTTTGTAATTTTAGTAGAGACGGGGTTTCACCATGTTGACCAGGATGGTCTCGATCTCTTGACCTCGTGAAAGATTTCTTAAGCTATTTCTAGAGCATGGTTTGGAACAGTCAATGGACAATTTGATTCTGATCTTTATATCTTCCTGAATTTTAAAAAGTACTTAAGAAAGCTGCTTGATTTGCCATTATAAAAAGCAATACTTATTTTTATATCGTGCATATTCAATCCTGTTTCCTTGCCTAGAGTGGGCCATGCTTAGGAGTTCTTATGATCATGGCATTCTCGAGAACTTCTCTAACTGCAGCCTCGGGCATGAAGGCTGGGCAGCAAGTGGCACCAGCAGAAGTCTCCTAGAAGTCTCTTCTACTTGACTCTACTTGGCCTAAAGTCAGACTCCCTACACCAAAGACATAGTTTATTTCCATACAGAATGAAATTCAAAATATGTTCTGAGAGAGATGGGTTCGTGGACAAAGAGAGTGCCCCAGAAATACCACCCCTGCATGGAAGTGACCCTTTCTATCTTCAAAGCGCATAACCCAGCCTGGACATCCCCGAAAGACACGTAACTTTCCGTTTCATGACCTTGAAAGTTAATCTCTCGGCCTAATAATGAGAACAAACTCATTTTGAAAGTAGAAAAATTGAGATTCAGAGCAGAAGTTTGGCTGAGGTCACAAAACAGTAGGATGCCTCCCTCACCTTCCCCGCGCCCAGGTCAGAAAAGCATCACAGGAATAGTGGGGCTCCCAGAACCATCTGGCCACGCAGGAGCTATGTGTCCCTGGGAACGGGGCCCTGAAGGGTTGCTGCTTCAGATGCCTGCGGTGAGTCAGGAAGGGGCTAGAGGAAGTTGACCAACTAGAGTGGTGAAACCTGTCCATCACCTTCAACCTGGAGGGAGGCCAGGCTGGAGAATGATATAAAGAGTGCCTTGACTCCTGCTCAGCTCAGCACTCCACAGGAGCCTCTGCCTCAGCCTTACTGTGAGTCTGGTAAGTGTTGGATGGTAGAACCAGGGCTGGGACTTGGGACCTCCAACAGCATACGATGGGGTTGGGGTGGGCAGCCTGGGTGGGGGTGGGCATTGCTCTGGGGGTGGTTTCAACTGGACTTTCCTTCTAGGGGGACTCAGGTCACTGTACTGAGACAAAAGTGCTTTGGCACAGAAATGCAGAACAGAGAGTAACCATCCTATGTCCTGTCTCTTCTTGTGACCGTATTTTTGGATTTGTGTGTGAGAGAGAAGGAAGGAAGGGAGAAGGGGAATAGCAGTCAATTTCTTTCCTAAACCTCTTGGGTTTAGACTGACCATCATTTTGCCTTCTTTATGGAGGCAAAGGGTTCAGGGGAAACCTTCTACCTTTTTTGGGGGTGCTATGCTGCACAGAGGGGACTGCAGAATAGGGAAAACTTTCTATTTGGAGAAACCTAGGCAGAGCAGGGGCAGGAAGACCCAACTTAGAAGTATAAGACTTGGAAGAACCAGCGCCAACTCTCAGCAACGTTCCAGCTCCCCTCAGCCCCACCCCAGACACCAGGACTTCAGCTAAACCTCAGAAGGTCAGGAGAGAAAGAAGCCCTGGGCTTGAACAGGCCAACCTGCTGGCTTTGCAGAGGAGAAATCCAAAGCCCAGGAGACTAAGTGACTCGCCCAGAAACACACAGCACTCAGTGGGAGATGCAGGCCCAGAATAGGTCGTGTGGCTCCAGTCTGGAGCTCGCCTCATGACCTCTCGGATCCTCTCTGACACAGCCTATTGGCTTTCTGGACTTGGTGTCCTCTAAGAGAACATTTGTTCCCTAATGCCTTACTTCTCACTGTGACATAATCCCAGAATGTATCTCTGCTACTTGGTCAGTGGAGCGATGAGGGTGGGCACAAGGACTAGACAAGAGCAGACAGTGAGATGGCAGCCGGCACCCTTGCAGAATAGCCCTGCAGACAGATCTCCTTGTTGGCTCTCCCCTGGGAACAAGGAGGCTCCTAGGATGACATTTCCCTGCCCCTCCCCATTTCCACCCTTCACTCTCTGATGCTTCGGGAAATGATAGTCCAGAGGTGGTAGGATAGTAAGTACCCTGCTCAAAGGAAGAGGGGATGCTAAGAAACCAAACCAGGTACTTCTGCAGATTTCCAAGGTTTCATCTACTTCCTTTGCCTTGTCTGTGCATCAGACCCCTCTGTCTTTCAGGTTGACAGCAGCTTCTAAGATGTCCCAACAACACACACTGCCAGTGACCCTCCCCCCTGCCCTCAGTCAGGAGCTCCTCGACACTGTTCCTCCTCCAGTCAATACCCAGCAGGAGCAACGGAAACAGCCAGCTCCACTGCCTCCCCCATGCCAGAAGGTGCCTGTCGAGCTCCCAGTGGAGGTCCTGTCAAAGCCTGAGGAAAAGCACATGACTATTGTAAAGGGAGTGCCTGAGCAAGAATGTGAGCAGCAGCAGCCACAGGAGCAGGAACTGCAGCAGCAGCGCTGGGAGCAGGATGAGGAACATCAGAAAGCAGAAAACCCTGAGCAACAGCTTAAGCAGGAGAAAGTACAAAGGGAGAAGCAGCAGCTACAGGGACAGCTGGAAGAAGAGAAGAAGCTCTTGGACCAGCAACTGGATCAAGAGCTAGCCAAGAGAGATGAGCAACTGGGAACAAAGAAAGAGCAATTGTTGGAGTTCCCAGAGCAGCAGGAGGGGCAGCTGAAGCACCTGGAGCAGCAAGAGGGGCAGCTGGAGCTCCCGGAGCAGCAGAAGGGGCAGCTGAAGCACCTGGAGCAGCAGGAGAAGCCGTTGGAGCTTCCAGACCATCAGGAGGGGCAGCTGAAACACCTGGAGCAGCAAGAGGGGCAGCTGGAGCTCCCAGAGAAGCAGGAGGGGCAGCTGAAGTACCCGGAGCAGCAAGAGGGGCAGCTGGAGCTCCCAGAGCATCAGGAGGGGCAGCCAAAGTACCTGGAGCAGGAAGAGGGACAGCTGAAGCATCCGGAAGAGCAGAAAGGGCAGCTGAAGCATCTGGAGCACCAGGAGGGGCAGCTGGACCTCCCAGAGCAGGTGGGTCAGCCAAAGCACCTGGAACAGCTGGAGAAGCAACTAGAGCACCTAGAGCATCAGGAGGGGCAGCTGAAGCAGCTGGAGGGGCAGGAGGGGCAGGTGAAGCACCTGGGGGAGCAGGAGGAGCAGTTGAAGTATCTAGAGCAACAGGAGAAACAGCTGAAGCATCTGGTGCAGCAGGAGGGGCAGCTAGGGCACCTGGAGCAGCAGGAGGGGCAGCTAAAGCACCTGGAGCAGCGTGAGGGACAGCTGGAGCTCCCGGAGACGCAGGTGGGGCAGTCAAAGCACCTGGAGCAGGAGGAGAAGCAGTTGGAACACCCAGAGCAGCAAGAGGGGCAGCTGAAGCACCTGGGGAAGCAGGAGGCACAGCTGGAGCTCCCAGAGCAGGTGGGGCAGCCAAAGCACCTGGAGCAGCAGGAGAAGCAACTAGAGCACCCAGAGCAGCAGGAGAAGCAACTAGAGCACCCAGAGCAGCAGGAGGAGCAGCTAAAATCTCAGGAGCAGCAGGAGGGGCAACTGAAGGACCTGGAACAGCAGGAGAGACAGCTGGAGCAGCACGTGTTTGCCCCAGCTCCAGACCAGGTCCAAGACATCCAACAAGCCCTGCCCCCAAAGGGAGAAGTGTTTCTTCCTGTAGAGCAGCAGCAGCAGAAGCAGCAGGTGCAGTGGCGACATAAGTAACCACCTGCTGTGTCCAGAGGCCCTCAGATCATCTCATACAAGAGAAGAGAGAGCCACTGATCCCAATTATTTCGGGTCCCCTAGGTGTCCCGTCTCATCTGTGAACTTGACTCTGCCTCTCCACATGTCTCTTTAACGGGGTGAGGGTGAGGGAGAGAGGGAATTATTGTCCAGTGCCACCCTCAATGAGCCCAATCCCAACCTCAGGTGAGCAGAGCCTCTGCTCGAGGGACCACTGTTACAATAGGAGTCCCTACTTCCCCAAGATTGACGCTGAATCCGTGAGTGTGTACAATGATACATAATAAATCCTGGGAGTCTTGGGATCCTCTATTCTCTTTAGCTTTTTCTTCTCTCACCACATAAAAACCTGTGTATGGGTCAATGGCTGCAAGAAACTCCTATGGCCCTTTCTCAAAGGAGGGCAGACATCTGAATCTTTTTTTAAAATGTTGGTCCCCAAACCACTCAATAGATCCAACAGTTCCTGAAAAAGAAATAAAACCCAAATCAAACAAAAACAAAAACAACTTCACTTACGCTCTTGAAAACATCACTTTCCAGTCGTGGAAAGGAGATATGTAGTTCTGGCTGTATCCCAATCCAGCTCCCCACCCAACCCCTGGCAGAGCCCACCTTCTGCTCCCGACTCAGCTCCTCTCCGGAGGGGAACGGAGAAGATGCCAGGAAAGCCTGGGAGCTCCATCTAGGTTCTGTTCTCTTCCCTGGAAACATCTCCTGGCTCTTCTGCCTGGGTTTTCTCTCATGATTTCCAAAAGTCTTATGGTCTGCCTGCTTGGCTGAGGAAGACTTTAGAAAGGCAATAGAAATAGACGTGGGCGAGGTGGGGAGAGGAGGTGTTCCAGATTGTCTCTGAGGGAAAGTGAGAGCATTATTAAAGGAAGTAAACATCAGGCCAGTGCTGTCATGGAAGCCAAAACTACTGACTGCGCTGGAGAAATACAGATGCAGCCACCGCAGATGTCACCCTCCTGCTACCGGGCTCCAACATCTCCGTAGCCTTATTGCCATCAGTCATATCAGGACCAGGGGTTCTCCTTTCCTGGGAAAAGTTCTGCTTTTAATTTTTCAAATTGCTCACTTTTAATGATTTAACCACCACATTTTAGGCAGGCTGTCTCAAGCTATTCAAAGCTATTTTACTGCAGGCACTAGGATATATCAGAGACTTCCCTACTGAGGTGCCCAGATCTGCACAGCACAGCACAGCACAGCACTTGGCATTCCTTCCTCCCCACCCAACCCCAGCAACACTCACTGTGTTTCCTCCTTAGGTGTTCTCTCTTTGAGGTAAGAAAACCGCCACTGCCCTCTGTGCATTCACAATTATTCCTCATTCTTCCTCCTCTTCCCTACCCACCCCCATCAAGGATCAAGTCCTCGCTATCTCCACCAACACCTTCTGAGCTCTGCCTGAAGTCATTTCTTACTTGAATTGTGGCAACAGCCTTCCAGCTGGTCTCTCTTGCTCTCTATCTCCACACACCCTGCAATCCACTCATCACCCAGAGGACAGGGTGTTCTACTTCAAATTCTGTTCTAACCACAACCCTCCTTCGGCCAGCACTTGTCGGTGGTTCTCATGGCTTAGACCACGAGAAGGCAGGCTCAAGTCCTCCTAACAGCAGGCTTGGGTAGGACTGGGAAGGGAGATTGGGGACAGAAGGCACAGTAATCAGAAGCACCCAGTGTGTGTGCAAATTTTCTTGTCAATGTTTAAAAAACATACTTTTTCAGGACAGTTTTAGATTTGTAGAAAAGTGAAGAAAATACTAGAGTTCTCATATCATCCACACACAGTTTCCCCTATTATTAATATTTTACGTGAGCAGGATACATTTGCTACAAATTGTTGCAACTCAATATGGTATTATTAGCTGAAGTTCTTGGTTTATTCGGATGTCCTTAGTTTCGCCTAATAACCTTTTTCTGTTTCAACATCCCATCCAGCATATCACATTGTGAGTGCTTGTCTTGTCCCCTTAGGCTTCTCCCTTGACAGAGTCCGTTCCTCAGACATTTTTTGCTGTTGTTTTTGGTGATCTGGACAGTTGTAAGGGGTGCTTTTCAAATATTTTGTAGGATATCCCTCAATTTGTATTGCATTTGTCTGATGTTTTTCTCATGATTGGATGGGGTATGGGTTTTTAGGAGGAAGACCGCAGAGGAAGACTGTGGTCATCGGACATCTTCACTGTCGTCTTCAGTGAATAAGTGTCATTCATTCTCACCACGTCATACAAAGTATATGTATATCAGACTTAACTCATCACAGTTGCTATTAAACTCCATCACTTAGCTGAGACAATGTGTGTCAGTTTCACTGCTGTAAAGTTACTCTCCTCACCCTCCCCCATACCCCCTTCTATAAAGAAGTCACTATGCAAAGCTCACCACTAAAAAGTGGAGTGTCAAGCTTCCCATTGAGGATGGAGAATCTACATAAGTTCACAAATTATTTGGAATTTTCAGTACAGATTTGTCCCAACCCCATTTATTTGTATCAGCATGGACTCGTGACTCATTATTTTTTACTTTGGGCTACAACCCAATAGTACTTTATTTGTTCAAATTGTTCCAGCTTTGGCCATTGTAAGCTCTTTCATTGGCTCCTGTGTTCTTTAAAATAGATTTCCATCAATGTGGGGTTTTTACAATTTTATTTTTACGTATGCATTTATGTTCAGTTTGTTTTGTTTTTGCATATTCCTTACTTTCTGACACTACAAGATACTCCAGGCTCATCTGGTGTATTTCCTGCCCCAGTCCTAGAATTCACAATTTCTTCAAGGACTCCTGTTTCATTTTATTGGAGAATGGTATTAGAAACTAAGAACTGGGAACTGGGTATGGCCATTACTACTGGGGTATCATTTCCCTTAGGCCCTCTTAACTGGCAAAGGAAGTATATATGTGTACACTAACCTGGATGTGTGGGCATGTATGTATGTTTTTCTGGTAACGATCTGTATCTATATTAAGCTAAACAGAGTTCATACTAATGTCTCCAACTATAATTTATTTCCACATGGATCACTCTAGTGTCCTCTCATTTCTTATCTGAAAATCCTCACCCCAGCTACGAGAAACCTGGCCCCCAATTGTCATCTATTTTCTTAATTATTCATTTTCAGTATTCAGAAGTGACTGTACTGTTTTACTTTCCCACCAGGAATGAGTTCCTCCTGTTGTCTTTCATTGTCACCAGCATTTGGTGTTAGCTTTTATAATTTTAGCCATATTAATAGGTGTGTGGTGATATCTCGTTGTTTCAGTTTGCAGTTTCCTTAGGCATGGTGCTAAGCATATACTCATAGGTTTATTTGCCATCTTCACATCTTCTTTTATGAGTTGTCCAGATCTTTTGCCCATTTTTTAATTGGGTTGTTTATTTTCGTTCTGTTGAGTTTCTAAAATTATTTTCTATATTGGGATTATCATATATGTGTTTGGCAAATATTTTCTCCTAGTCTGAGGGTTGTCTTTTCATTCTGTTAACAATGTCTTTTGCAAAGCACTAGTTTATAATTTTAATGAAGTCCAACTTACCAATTTTTTTTTCAGGAATCACACTTTGGTATTGTATCTAAAAACTCATCAGCAATTCCAAGGCCGTTTAGATTTCTCCCATGTTATCCCTTAGAACTTTTAATTCTATATCCTTCATTTAGGAGGACTATGACAATGAATTGATAGGTCTCAAGTCATTATTTTGTATATAGGTATCCAATTGTTTCAACACAGGACACCCCCTTTTGCCCCCATTCGATCTGCCTGGTACCAAGTGTAAAAAAAAAAATTCTCCCAACTCATGGTTTTTACAATGGAAAAAGTAAGATCCAGGTGAACGATCAGCTTCCCCACCATCTTGGGTTCCCTGGCAGGAGACCTGTCCCTGCTTCAGCCCCACTGGAAACATCATAAATGCCTGAAGGGAGACATATCCCTGAGGACAGCTAGAAATAAAGTCGGGGGTGGAACTACCATCCCCAGGCCTGAAAATTCTGTACTGTAACTCTGCCAAAGGAGATGCCAAGTCAGATGGCCGTTCAGCAGCATTGCACTGAGAGGTACGTTCCACAGGTCCTCAGCTAACTGGTTCCCATGTGTTGGAAAGGTTGTTTCCAGAGCGCTTTTACGTTTAAATTGGGCTTCTTCTAGGCAACGTATAGTTGGATGTTGGTTTTAATCTATACTTATAATCACTGTCACTTTATTGGTGTATTTAGACCATTCACATTTGAAGTGATTTGTGATATAAATGGATTATTATCTACCATGTTTAAAGCTGTTTTATAGTCATTGTACTTTTGTTCTTTCCCTATTTTTCTGCTTTCTCTACTTTTAATTGATATTTTATTATTTTCATTTTATCTTCTCGGTTGGCATATGTTTACTTTTATATATTTATCTTATAAAATACATTAAAAAATATATTTATAATATATAATATATATTCCTATATATAATAGTGTATATTACTAGATATAATTTATTTATAATTATAAATATGTATATTATATTATAAATATATTATATATTACATATGTTTATAAATATATTATTTTATAATATAATACATTTATATTATAATATAAATATAATATGTCTATAATATATTCTATTATTTATTATATATAATATATTGATAAACATAATTAATATATGATGATATATATTATATTATTATAAATAATATATTATATTATTAATATATATAATATAGTATATCACATATAAATATATTAATTTGTTATATATATTTATATATTATATAGATGTTTACTTTTAAAAATTAGTGATTTCTCTGGAGTTTAAAATATACATTTACAACAAATCTAAGTACTCTTTGAAGTAAAATTATACTGCATAACAGTAGTGCGGATAAGTCATGACCGTATTCTCAATTCTTCCTGCTGTCATTCATACTATGTATCCATTTTCTTTTTTTCTTTTTTTTGAGACGGAGTTTCGCTCGTTACCCAGGCTGGAGTGCAATGGCGCGATCTTGGCTCACCGCAACCTCCGCCTCCTGGGTTCAGGCAATTCTCCTGCCTCAGCCTAATAATTATCCAACATGTTAATATACTCTCACTTTGAATAGCTACTAGATCAATGAAGAATAAGAAAAATAAGCATGTTATTTTGTCTTTTTAAAATCCCCCTCTTATTTTATATGGGTCCATATTTCTGACTGACATCATTTTCCTTCTTTCAACATTTTAAAAAATGTTTTTTCTCTTTTAACATTTCTTGCAGAGCAAGGCTTTTGGCAATTAATTCCCAGAATTTCATTTGTCTCCAAAAATG